ATATATATATATATATATATATATATATATATAGCTCCGTTCGCATTAATGACAGTTAGAATTTTCAATTTAATTATTAAATTGGGCCATTGTATCGAATAGAATTTCGAATAGACTGGTAATCTAGAATAATCACCGCAAGTTCCGTAATTTGAATTGTCCGTAAAATTGACCGTAATTTTCGTGCAGACCTGAATTGGAAACCAATTATATCCCACACCTGAATTCATTTTTCAATAACAAAATAGATGGAAATTTCATATGAATTGCTCATTGAAAATTTCAATTTTTTTACTTGAAATTCCATCTTTTTTCCTGATAATGCAAACTGAAGAAGGAAACAGATTTAGAATTTCAACATCGAATCCAATCTTTGGGGAGGTGAATTTTTGTTCATACTTCTAAATAAAATGCCCCACATCTCTTAGAATGTAAGATATTCATAAATAACTTATCGAATTCACTCGTTTTACCACTTCAGTACTAAAGCAATCTACATTGTCAACGTCCAATAATGACCCCAATGTTTTTATCATTTCCCAAGGGATTTAGCAACCAACATGATTACTTCCCTCTCCCACCAGTCCTTCTCCACCCTCCACTACCTCCACGATCTCCTCCTACCCTACAACAAGATCAAGACCCTCCCCCAGGACGCATTCACTGGTCTAGGCCGTCTCCAACTTCTGTAAGTTGAACATTCCCATCTGACTGCACCCTTCCACTTTCTCCTTTGGAAATTAACCTCAGGATTAAACGATTCGATCCTCTGCAGAGATCTCGAGGGCAATTTGATCGAATTCATTCATCCAGACGTGTTTCATCCCATCAACCAGCTCGAGGACTTGAACTTGGGTAATAATGTCTTTCCGGCACTCCCTACAAAGGGTCTCGCCAGTATTCTTCATCTCAAGACCTTCAATAATCCGGCACTCAGGGAATTCCCGAAGCCTGAACACTTTCCAAGGGTACAAACAATGGTGTTATCTTACGCCTATCACTGCTGTTCGTTCCTGTCGGATGAACTTGATGAGGAGGTGACGAAATCATCGGTTGAAGAGTCTGTTGTATTTCCCGATGACAATGACCTTGAGTTGGGTCTCTGGAATTCTAATGTCACATACGTGTGGCCTCAATTACGTAGGTGCTCCTCGTCCACAATAATAAAGAAGGGTAGAACCACCTATGAAAAAATCCTATGGAGAATTCGAACATTTCCTATAGGATTTTTCTGGTGAGATTTCCTATAGGATTTCCTATAGAATTCACTATAGGGTGTTCTATAGAAAGTAACACAAAATTGACACTCGAAACCAATCAGTCTCAAGGGTCGGGATTAGGGTCATAAACCTGATAGGAAATTCTATAGGGAATCCTATAGGAAATCCTGTGGAAAATCCTATCAGAAAAATCCTATAGGAGATGTTCGAATTCTCCATAGGATTTCCTATAGGATATCCTATAGGTTTTATCCTACAGGAAATCCTATAGCATTTTTTCATACGTGTACATTTCCCTCAAATGATCTTTTTGATTTTTTTTATTCAAATGTGTGAAAAACTTGTATCGACTTGTATTGACAAAAGTGATAAAAATATTTTAAAATATGCATCCCGCAGATTTCATGGTAGAATAGTTTCACTAAAAATTTATTGTTTTTTACTTAATTTTCTTGCTGGGAGAACATCCGTTTTATTTCTTGAAACATAGTACATTTTTACACTTTAATTTCGAGATTTAACCCTCGACCACTAGCTCAATGAGCCCGTTTTCGTTTTTTAAATATTTTAGTATGTTACTCGACGCTTAAAAATTCTGAAAAAATTGAAGTTCCTAGTTCAATCCTTTTATAAACCCTAGTCTGGTCACCAAACGCGACCCTGCCAGTTGGTCACCTGTGCGGGGATTCCCCGCCGTGTTATTTAGGCTCTAGCGTTGCCAAATTCACTTTACACTGCCCGGGTGCGTTTAGCGAGTTTCCGACAACGTCGTGTCATGGAAAATTTCATTTAACATGGGAAAAAATAATTCATCTGTCCGAAATAATTTGTTTTCTTTAGGAGTTTTGGGCAATATATTGTTCTAAAAACTACTATAATTTTTTAGACACTTCAATTGACAAAGTCAAATTTTTTTAATTTTTCCGGTTAGCCAGTCAATTGTAATTAAAGAACAAGCAGGGGTTCGAGCCCATTCGACCGAAGGCATGTGACCGTTACTTTTTGCGTTTTTAACCCTTTTCTTTTTTTTTCATTCCTACCAATTCTATTGCTAGTAAGCTTCCGAATGGATCCGTAGCAATTCCCTGTCCTTGTGACAGGCATACAACCGTAACCACATGCTACAGTACGTCTACAGGAAAATATTCAACCTTTCAAAAAAATAGATTTATACAAAAGGTTAAATATCTTCGAAACTGCTCGGTTAATTGCGTCTAACCAAAACACGAATCTTCAATATTGTAAGAGCTGTAATCACACCAAATATCAACTTGCTATTTTCATTTTTTCTCAAAATATCGTGCGTACAAGAATGAAAAATTTAAAAAATGAAAAAAAAAACGGAAATATCTCTGAATCTTTGTATGGACGGGTATACATATTTTGATTGATCTGGATAGTGGTCACTATCTTTTGAAAAAAAAATTAATATCCGTCCAGTAGTTCATGGGATATTTGAAAAAATATATTTACACAAAAGGTTGAATATCTCAAGAACCGCTCGGCCGATTGCACCCATCCACAATACCAACCTTTTATGCTATAAAAGCTAGAAGCATACAAAATTTCAACTCCCTATCTCCATTGTTTATTAAGTTATCGTGTAGACGAGATTGTTCATGAAAAAACGGCAATATCTTCAAATTTTGTCTGAACGAGTATATTTATTTTGATTGATCTAGATTGAGGCCATCGAGACAAGTATTTTGAAAAAAAAATGAAATCGGTGAAGTAGATTTGGAGATATTGAGGAGAAACGAGATTAAAAGAAGTTGTTATATCTCAGGAACTACTAGACCGAATTGCGCACCAAAGTGAAGCTCAATCATAGCTACCAAAAGCCATGAGCCTAAATTTCAGACTTTTATCGATAAATTTCACCGTATTTATGTTGATCTTTCTAAAAATTGATCACCAAAATCCCAAGTTATCACACACATACATACAAACATAATCCTAAGAACATCATTTCTTCACGTTTCATAACATTCTAGACCATTTGCCATCGAAATTAGAAAATCTAAAAATCGCTCAAATACAAGACTTTCATTCGAAAGCAAAAACGACGCGCGGCGGGGTTTCCCCCATAGGGTGACCAGTCTAGCGTTAACTATCAGACAAAGTCCCATTGACCACTGCGTCATCGTTTCCAACCATGGCAGTAGTCAATCGCAATGTAATTGGCTGAAGTATTGAAAAATTCTAATGTTCACCATTTGAAAGACCATTACTCCCGTTTTTCTATTCTATATCTGCCTGCAATTTGTAAACAAGGTGCTGACGCCTTCTGTAGAAACCTCTATTTTTTCAATTTTCAACGTAAATACTACACTTTTTTATTCAAATTTATTGCTCCAAGGTTAAAAAATGTCACCCAACTCTCCATTTGAAAAAACGATGTTATGAAATTAATTCTCCCATTCGTTTTCTTCATAGATAATATGTCAAAATTTGGTTCAGAGGTAAAGAAACTCTGGGACAATTACGATGCAGACTTTGCGTATCCCGGGAATATAGCAGCCTACGTCGAGGATTACTTTGAGGATCAAGAGGGAAGGGTGAGCGCACCCTCAGGACCCACCCTGCCAACTCACGTGCAATGTCTCCCCCAGCCTGGTCTGTTGACCCTCTCCTACTCCATCTAACTTTCTCATATCGTTTATCACGCCGGCAATAAATTCATTTTATCTCCAGGCGCATTCTTACCATGCCAAGACCTGTTTGATTGGTGGACGCTGAGATGCGGGGTCTGGGTAGTATTTCTGATGGCAATGCTGGGAAATGGCACTGTTGTCTTCGTGATTGTATTCTCGAGGAGTAAACTCGATGTTCCTAGATTTCTGGTTTGTAATCTCGCTGCTGCGGATTTCTTCATGGGGATTTATTTGGGTAAGTACTTAAATCATGAAGTCAATGAAGGGGGCGAAACGAAATAATTTCATTTAATTATTCAATGTTCTAAAGTCAAGTCAATTTAACTTTAGAACAGGTGAGTTTGTGAAATCACGGTGTCACTCAGGACTGAAATCGTATGAAATCAGTTGAAATCAAGTAAATTCAGTGAAATCCTGGGGTTTCATCGATTTCAGGTAATTTCAATTGAAATCACTTGCTATCGATGAAATCTCATGAAATCATGAAATCAGCAACTCATGAAACCCTTGCGAATACATAAAAGAGAAAGAAACTTTTTCACCTTATATGTGGTGTATTATTCTCCGTATGCCCATTTACGTGTATTATTTTTCACATAGAAAAAAAACAAATTGGTGAAAACAAACGCGTATTTTTATGTACGACCTCCTGGCCTCCTCAGAAAGTATCGAAACATCGTGTTCTCGACAGGGACACTGTCGACGGGGGAAAACAAAACAAAAATGCAACATCAACAATCGATGTTTTCTGAGAATCTCCCATACGACATTGAATATTTTTACTGCGGTAGAAATAGATATTTTATCGAATGAATGAAAAAAATATATAGATATTTGATTCTCATGGTTTCATCTTGACGGTTTCATCCCTGATTTACCCCTCTGTAACTCTCATGTTTGAGCCTTCTTGCATTAATATGCTGCATTTCTTTCCCTCCGGGTCCAATCCCCATTCTCTCCTACTCCCTAACCCCCTCCGCCGCAAATAGATGAAATAAAAAATTTGAAATCATTTGAAATTGTGAAATCATCAAAAAATCACCAAGAAATTATGGAAATCTCCCTGAAATCGCGTAAAATCAGCAATCACTGTGTCACCGGATTTTTCCAAATGAATGGCCCCTCGGATGATCATCTCAGAATCTGTGGGGGATAATGCTAAATTAGCCAATGGACTTTGATTTCCTCGCACGAGAGAAATTTCATAGAAAACCCTAGCATATTAGATACGAAATTCTATTAGTTTATCGTTGATTCTATTGGAAATGTCCGCATTTTCTCTGTATGTTCTTTTTTTCAAATGCAAAAGGTTTCACAGAGATGAATAACAGATTTTGATATTTTTTGTGGAACTTATTCTATTGAGATATTTTCTATGGAAGTTCCTGTGCAGAGATTTTCCAAGCTCTTTTCACTGCATTTTTCTCTTCTCCTATCGAAAAAACTCAAGCGACAACATGGAGAATTCAACTCGGGAAACTTCAACCGAAACAATCTAAACAAAATAAGTAGCACAGACCCATTGGAATTAATTAATGTCCCTTTAATTATCGACAACAAGGCTGAATCGAATTCCATTGTCTAATCTACGTTAACAGTTGAAAACTATTACCAATTCAGTAGCGAAGCGGTAAGACGGTCCAAGTCGACTTAGCTTCTTGCTGAGTTTTCATAGAATATCTCCGAATCTAAGGGAAATAGCGAAATTTTCATAATGACCTTGTTTGGAACGTAGCTATATATCTATCAGTCAAACGGTCGGTCCTATCGACAATCCTCGAGTACAATTGGAAACCCTTGGTTAAGCGGTCAGGGGATCGTGAAACCCCCAAAAAGTTCGTTGGAATCTAGCAATTGAGAAGATCGCATATGCATTAAATTGGAGCATCACGTGAAAGTACATCACCTATTCAATTTCACTGACGTAAAGACAATTATCAAAGACATTCAGCAGTTATTTAACAGTTCAGTAGATCAACTTTAGTATTAATATTTTGAGACATTCAACAATCTAGTTGAAACCAAAGTGTAAATATAACGGTTAACGAAGTGGTTCGATCCCACTAAAATGTACTGATGTTTTATAAATCAGTGTTCTGATGATTTTCCGGCCTATCCTGTACCAACACCTCCCACATCCCCTCTAAATTTAGATCCTCATCGAACAGACCTTTTTATAGCTCTTAAGGATGTACTACACCCTTTCGGCCAAAATTCACGTTTTTTCAATTTTTCTGGCAAATTATTGATCGGATTGACGCGACATAGTATACCTTTTTTGCGTTTTATTATTATTGACTGACTCACGAAGTTTCATGGTAGTGCAATTATTTTCCTGCATTTTTTTCTAAAGTTTTGTGAATTTTCAAAAAGTTTCAGAAAAAACGCAGGAAAATGATTGCACGATCATGAAATTTCGTGAGCCATTAAGTAATGATAAAACGCAAAAACAGCATATTTTTTCACGTCAATCCGATCAACAATTTACCAGAAAAATTCAAAAAACGTGAATGTTGGCGAAAAGGGTGTAATATATCCTTAAGATCCGGGTGGATTATCTTTCGAACGTGTCTTAGTTGTTTTTTTTATTTTGATAATCTGAAATGATCTCCAATTGTTATTCATTTTTACATAGCCCTGGAGTCTTCAAAAATTATGATTGTATAATAAAAAAACGTTGAAAAAAAGCAGAACATTTTCAAAGAACCTTTTTAAATAATATTGGGAAATAAATCCAATAGGGAGGAAATTGCTAATTAATAATTTGATGAATCTAATGGCTGTTAGGTCGGCATATGTCACAGTAGTCAATGGCTGTTAGTTCGTTAGTTACCATGATATATTATCCATTCACTATTTCCTCTCTATCGGACTTATTTCTTAATCTTCATTTATTTATTAAAAACGCACTTTGAAAATGTTCAGTTTTTTTCTACTTTTTTTCATTGTACAATCATAATTTTTAGGGACTCCTGCGCGATGTAAAATCCAATGGAAATTGTGATATATTTTACACTACAAAGATGGAAAAATAATTGAGATAACGTTCGAAAGGTAATCCACTCGGGCCTTAATTCGCTATACAAAAAAGGTTATAACAAAAATTTAGCTATTTGCCTTAACTTCCGAGATATTTATGGAAATCCGCCCAACAGTAAAAATGTACTTGAACGTTTTACCGCTTCGCTACTGAATTACTCATGCCAAAGTTTGTTGCGGAATTTCCTCGTAGAGAGAGAATAAAAGCTGGAAAGATAGCTCAATCCCCTCCAGAATCTGAACGATTAATCTCCCAAGAATTTACCCTGACTCTCCCTGATTCACCACTCCACTCGTAAATAAGTCATAAAATAAATAATAAAACAAATTGATTTGCCCCAGGTTTCCTAGCAGTAGTAGACGCCTCGACTCTCGGTGAATTTCGTAAATACGCGATACCATGGCAGATGTCAGTGGGCTGTCAGATTGCCGGATTTCTAGGTGTCCTAAGTTCCGAATTGAGTGTCTACACCCTAGCAGTGATAACCCTCGAGCGAAACTACGCAATAACTCACGCAATGCATCTGAACAAGCGTCTCTCCCTGAAGCACGCAACCTACATAATGATAGTGGGTTGGGGTTTTGCCTTCTCAATGGCAACTCTCCCCCTCTTCGGTATCTCCGATTACCGAAAATTTGCAATATGCTTGCCATTCGAGACAAATGGGCTTGCCTCATTAGCATACGTTGTATTCCTCATGCTCATAAATGGCGTTGCCTTTCTGATTCTCATGGGCTGCTATCTCAAGATGTACTGTGCCATACGCGGCTCACAGGCATGGAATTCCAACGACTCGAGAATAGCCAAACGCATGGCACTACTAGTCTTCACTGATTTTTTATGCTGGTCACCAATAGCCTTTTTCTCCCTAACAGCATCATTTGGTCTTCAACTGGTTACCCTAGAGCAGGCGAAAGTATTTGCTGTTTTTATTCTACCTTTGAACTCGTGTTGCAATCCATTTCTCTATGCCATACTGACGAAACAATTTAAGAAAGACTGTGTTTTAATTTGCAAAGCCCTTGAAGAATCGAGAGTCACTCGTGGAATTGGTAGATGTAGGCATTCATCGAATTTTAGTAATCGTCCAACACCAGCCAACACCAACAGCCTTGTCGACAGATCATCCAGGGAGAATCCGCCCCAGTGTGCCTGCAATACTCGATTATTAGAGGTAAATGACTGCCAGGATAAATGGTGGGGTGGTACCTTATTGTGGACTTGCAGGAGGCAACAGCGAACAAGGCACAATAGAAGTGATCGGTATGCTTATCAGATTGCAGAGATTCAGCAGAAGCAGAATAAACGAGCGTCATCCATGTCGTCGAGTGAGAATTACTCATCATCGAGGTCTGACTCTTGGAGGCAGGCGCATCACTGTGGCATACCACTGAGGATACTCGATCCCAAGAGAAGAGCATCCTCCTGGCTCATCACCAGGAAGACATCTCAAGATTCTAATTTAAGTTCTTCCAGGAATGACTCGTCGGGCTCTGGCACTACTGCGAGCACGAGCACCTGGAGAATGTCCAGGTCCAGTGCTTCATTGGAGTTCAATACCAGGACTACACCCAGGTCAAAACCCAGGTTGATCAGGCAATTTGCTATTCAGGAGCCTGAACCACCTGGCAGTCCCAGTAGACTGGCTGTTAGGCTTTTGGCTACTATTCCTTCCGCTGCTGAGATGAGTGAGCAGCAGGAGGAGGAGAGCAATGCTGATAAAGAGTGCGGAGGTGGGGAGGGAGGGTAATTAGAAAATTATCTACCAGGTGGTGATGGGAGCATGTATCGAGCTCTTGAGATAGGGATTCATATTAGTTCTCTCTTGTCGATGCGAGATTTTATTGAGGTGGCGGAGGTTGAGCGGAAGGGGGGAGGGGAGGGTGACATGAGGAGGATCAATTTAAATAGAGAAATGGGGTAATGGGAACTATACCCTTGACGGGAGAGGGTTAAAAAGTAGCACAGATATTTGCGAGTATTTTTTGAATCATAAGACTGAAGAGATTTTTTTAAGATTAAAGGAGTTATGGAAAAGTACGTTGTCGACCATTCCAAAGTATTTGTTCTCTGGAGTAATTACAATTTGTACAGGTTTTTTGGTACAGTGTGGAATTTTTTCGATTTTGTATTTGTTTTTTTGGGTAAATAAGTTGTGAGTTACCAGAGCTTGAATTTATCGGGGAGGACGTGACCTGATACTAACCCAGAGCCAATATAAAGTTATAAATTATTATTGTTTCCTTTTTTTAATGTTTTCTTTTTTAATGGAGGAAAGTCAGTGTGATATATTGTACCGCTCATGAATTCCCAATGAACCAGAGATTATTCATGTTAAATATTATGGAAATTTGATGACTACGATAAACTTATTGATGAAATGTATTTTAGCTGATGAATACTCATTCTAAATGTGAAATTTTTACAACGAAGTAAGATTACAGAACGAAAATATTTATTTTAATTTTCAGTCATGTAAAAATGAAAGAGTGAAAGTCTTTTCACTGCCAATGATAACATTAACTGCCTACAGTTCGAATTTGTTGCGACATTGAAGATCAGATGAAACTAGAGAAAATGATCGTTGATGAAGAAATGACGTTGAGCATTTTAAACAAAAAATATATTTACAATTTTAACTATTACTGAATCTACCATTGAACCTCAGAGAAAATGTCTAATGGATAATTGAATAATGAATTAGCTAGATGAGATATACTGTTGACAATTGCACTTGGATTTTATTGACGGACAGACTCGAACAGGAAATGTACAAATTGCAGGATCAAAGCTCACTATTAAGGAGAGAATTTTTTATTAAATAAAAGGTGCAATATTTATGCTATTTATATCCAATGTTTACTTTTTTACATGTGGATGTCATAAGGCTTGTAAATGCGTTATTTATGGATTAGAATAAATTGTACATGACATTTAGTGGAGAGGAATGGAGATTATGTCCGGATTTGGGAAGGAATATCAGTTATTCAACATTGAAGAGAATAAGGGGGTACACCCAAAAAAAGTACTGATTCAAGTCGACGTCGGCTTGATTCAAACCGAGGGACTCGGACTATGCCAATCCGGATTCCGGATGTAAGTCGAAAAGTGGTTTATTTCAAGTAGAAACGTGTCAAGCCCACAACGATTTGAATCAAGCCGAAAAATCGGCTTGAATCAGATCGAAAAACGGAATGATTCACGCCGAAATTCTGCCTGTTTCAGGTAGTAGATAGCGACTTGATTCAAGTCGATTTTCCGGTCTAATTCAAGTCGATTTTTCGATCTAATTCAAGACGATTTTTCAATATTATTCTCGTTTCCTTTCGTCACGAAAAAAATACATGTTTCATCAGTTTTTCAAACTATCTCAAAGATGAATTTCAATTTTCAGAAAATTGAGTAATTAAGGTATATCCCAAGACGATCGGACCCAAAAGTTAGTCCCTACGGATTTCCAAAAAAAAATTGTAGAAGACTTAATTAATTGCATTCTCACAAGTTACTGAGTTTTTCCATCCTCATATTTGTTCGTGCAGGCAACAATTACCGTTTGAATCAAGTAAGAAATTATTTGTTAGTTAATTTTTTTAATCAAATAAGAAATGCTTTCACGAAATTTCCATTTTTTAGAGTTTAATATCGTAGAAACTGTGTAGTACAAAATTTTATCAATTTTATCAATCTATCACAGATGAGTTTTTTAAAAAGATCGTAACAACCGTTTTCTCATAAGATAGAAAAATCGAGTTCGGAGGGACCTATAGCCCCGTTTGACCTATGTGTTGCCTGTTAGAAGTCCACATTTCATTATTTATTATCCCCTAAATTAAAAGTACAGCTAGTTAAGAATTTTTTCAATAACTGGGGACTATTATAGACAGTATCTATGAAAAACTTGGAGACAATTTAAGAAAAACGCGTTTTCTATGGCTATACCTTAAATCTTAGGATAACCGTTGGAAGATAATCTTCAAGTGAAGTTGACCCATCATCTTTCACAAATGAAACAATAATCGTTAAACAATTGCACTCATCTTCTAATGTCGATCAGGAAATCATCAAAGTCGACCATTAAAGGTGAAATTACATGGAACTTACCAACATATTCACTTCTGACGCTTTTTGAACGATGAGTTACACGATAAATCAATTTTCCCATGACCCACACAATGATTCAATCTCAAATAGCAGTCCATCATTCTGAACTCCACAATTTCCAGCAATCCCACTGTTTACACTTGACCAAGGAGTCTCTTACTGTCCAACACATGCTGCAAACCATTCTATCCCACTCGCGCAACCACAAAAACCTCGAGCGTACGCTAAGAGCCACAACAGGCGATAACTCACCGGCTCGCCCACTCGCCAATGAAAAACTGATGTTCCTTCTCTATTGGTTTGTCATCAACTCCAGATTCGACGCAGTATAACACAGAAATTGTAATATGAACATTGGAACATGAACCTGATTACTGCATAATATGAAAACGAAAATTATTATGATTATTATTGACAATAAGAACTGATTATTTACGCTCTCTCAATTTTTAAATATTAATGAGAAATGATAAGCTAGTCTATTATATGATAAATTGTGGTGGTTAGCCACTATTATTTGTAAATGGAAATAAAAGCCATCCAACCGTCATTCTATTTTTAATTGATCTTGTTTTCGCCCAGAATGAAGGAACACCTGGGAACGAAGCACGTGTAAACAAATTCAAAGAAAAACCTAGAGCACTCGCTGGAAAATTCTGGTAGAATCTCATTGAGATTTTTTTCTTGTTCATGTAATTGAAAATTCTAGTTGGTTTTTACAAAATTATGCTAGAAGCTACACTGAGAGAAGAATATAATTCTTCTGACTATATTCCACCACCATCGAATTATAGTCAAAAATTTCTGCCGGAAAAGTAATTACTACAATGGAATGTAGTCATTGCAACTATTTTATAGTTCTCCCCACGATAGATTTGTCGTGGTTACTTTTGAACTTTGGTTAGTTTAACTGCATTTTGATTTACAAAGATTACGCTTGTGAAGTTACTATCATGTTATGTGCCGCATACAAAAAAAAATCGTATCGTTCACCAAAATGCCTCAACTATTTTCTTATTGTAAATCGAACTTCAGATTTTTCTCGCAGTGTATGTAATTTTTTTTTTTTTCTATTGGTTTATAGTATAGAATCCATATCAGGGTTATTTACACTGTCGGTGAGTGTATGTAATTTAACCGTGTGATTTTTAATAGATGTTTCACGGCCAAAAGTTGATAGATTTATATGAGGTACTTCATGCCAAATGAGTCAGCGGCTGACCCTCATCTTTTTGGAATTTGTTCTCGATTTTTTCGACGATTGGGAGCTAAAAAAAACTATCTCTCAATTTTTTTCAGAGTTCTTCGACAGCCTATTTCGGAGATATGATTTTTTCGTTTTTTTTTCAATAACTCGGGTTCTACTCAGCCGATTTTAATTTATGATGACTCATTTTCCATTTTCTGCCATCTATAAGAAGATTTTGGGTAATTTTTTCTCAAATCTCTAGGTGCGCATACTACCGAATTTTCAAAAAAAAATCATTTAAAAAACTTGAATTTTCGAAATTATGTCATCTTGTATTTTTCTCAGCTGTTTTTCAGTAACTCTTCTAATCAAAACAAGTATTTTGAGCCATCACACAAGTTGGGTTTCGTCCTGAATCCATTTTATTTTTAATTTATTCTTGTCGAAATTCCGCGAATTTGGTCAAAACACCCCACTTCATACTATTTATAATCAAAGTCAATCAATGCTATTGATTGAAATTATGGAGTATTTTGACCAAATTCGTGGAATTTTGAGAAGAAAAAATTCAAAATACAATAGATCTAAACGAAACCCAACTTGTATAGCGTTTCAAAATACTTGTTGTGATTACAAGAATTACTGAAAAAAGATGAAATAGTACATTACATGCCCGAGCCTTGGAAAATATCACCCTCCCCCACGTGCTTGCCATCCTCGCCATCGGCTCGGAAGGCAATCTTCCACATATGGGAGGGTGATATGTTTTCCATGGCGAGGTGTGTATATTAATTTTCAGGCCCCACGACACGAAAAAGATAAAACGTGACATAATTTTGAAAATTCAAGTTTTTCAATTTTTTTTTGAAAATTCCGTATTATGAGTACTTGGGGGTTGAAAAATGAATGATTCAAAATATTCTTATAGATGGTAGAAAATCGAAACTTTTAAGGCGTCATATATAAAAATCGGATCAATAAATCTGACGTTATTGAAAAAAAAGGAAAAACTAAGAAAAATCATATCTCCGAAATGGGCTGTTAAAAAAATCGAAAAAAATAGAAAGATAATTTTTTAAGTCCCTCAATCGTAGAGAAAATTGAGATCAATGTCCAAGCGGGTGAAGAGCAGCGTTAGCTCATTTGACATGGAATACCTCACATTTTTCTATACAAATTATTCTGCTGCGATTTCTTTCAAGCTAATTTCCTTCTTTTCAGGCCTTTCGCTTCTATTTTATAATGAGAAATGAAGAAAAATACAGCAAAAAACCTGGATAATTTATGCCCACGCTTTTTTGTACAATAAATGTAAATAGGTAGAATCATTCAATCAGAATCAACAGTCAAAATCTATCGACAGCTGTTACGGAATATCTGTCAGAAAATCGCGTTAAAAAGTTGCGTAATTATCAATAGAAATCGACGAGAACCTGCTAAAATTTCCCATAAAAATCACT